CGTTTTTTTTGATTTTGACTATTTGTCGAAGATAAATTTTGAATATAATTATCGACTGAAATATCACGTAATGATGAATGACGATATGTTCGTATTGATAAATTATCATGAAATTTTTCGATAAGATCAAGTATATTTTTTGATGGTTGTTTAGCTGAAAGATGAATAACTAATTCTTGACGAATAGGTACCGAAGATAAATGTATTGATTTTTCTTTTGAATTTTGATTTTTTTCATAAAGAATAAGTTGATTGTATAGTTGTTCAAGTTTGTCAAGTAAAACATCTTGTCGTTGTTCAATTTCTTTTAATACTGAATCATTTGTTAATTGCTAAATTGAAGAAAAAATAATAATAAAGTTATTTATTCGATTTTTATTTATTATATATAACTAATCTAATATGAATATTCCTCTTTAGTTTATTTTTATTTTGATGATATAGAAAATATGATTTTTTTTTCTTCATTTTAAAATAATATAAATCTATAATTTACTTTTGTTTGTTGTAATAGAGGTTGAACCGAATACATTGATTTAGGTAAATCAAATTCAAGTGTTTCTGAACTATAAGGACGTATAGAATACATTGTTTCTTTTTTTTTTTTTGTTTATTATAATATCTAGAATTAACATAAACAAAACAAAAATATTAACTGTTTTATATTCTTTTTTTTTTCGTATTGTATAAAAAGCATTGCTTTTGCTTTTCTTTCTTTAATCAGTTGAATTATTTGATGTTTTTCTTTGCACATATTGTGCAAATGTTTGTGCGACAATCAATGGAAATATCAATGTAGCATCACCATGAACTTTAACTGGTTTGGCAGCAGATCGAATTTTACCCCATGATACAGCTTCATCGGGACTAGCACCAGAATCTGATCCATCATATTCCGTACCTGTATTGACATAGACAGCATAGTCAGCTCCATTACGCATTAAATTAGCATTACCTAAAGTTATTAGAAAAAGAAGATATGAAGAATTCAATATGACTCTATTTCGATTGGATAAAAAGTTTGACATTCGATTATTCAAGTGTTTAGTGATTCTAAACTCAACAAGCAAAGAATAGAATCGACTACTCATCAAATGGCCGTAATATCAAGCGATTCGATAATTAGAAACATTCTTTCATTAAAATTAAACAATTATGTTCATCATCAACAGTAAATAGAAGAAATTTTGACGTTTGTTCGAGAACTTCAATGCACTGCATAAATCCATCAATCTAATGAAACACATAATTTTATGATTCTAACCTTCGAAAAGTTCTATATTCACTTATACTACTACTTGATTGAATTTTATCTTGTTCAATTCTCGTTATTTAATTATATCACTTCTTTGTTTTTTTTTGTTTCTTTGAGAATAACTTACAAATATGATGTTTGACAATTCCACCACCTAAAATAAACATTCCAGTTGATTTAGCATGTACAGCTAAATTATTAATTTTTTTTAAATCTTCTAATATATCAATTTTTAAACCAGGATTACGATATGTATGAAAATATAACATATCACCTATACTTCCATCTGTTATAGCTGGACAAAATACTGGTATATGATTTTTAGCACACCAATAATAAATTGATTCTTCATTATTAATTTCATTACCAAGAATTTCAATTAATTTTGATGGTGTTAATATACAATTATTTAAATTTTCATTAACAATACGATCTAATATTGGCATAAGCCAATCTTCAAATTTACAATAATTATCATTTGGTACTAATAAATTTCCAATACGATTTATTCCATTAGCTCGTAAATGTTGTCCATTTAATGTAAATTCACCAACATATGTTGGTGCTAAACATTTAATCAAATCTTCTTCAATACCACCAGCTGTTGTTACAATAACATGAATAAGTTTATGTTGACATAAATAACGTATAATATCACGACAACCACTTGAAACAATATTTGATGTATAACCAAAAAAAATTATTGAATTACTTTCAATCATAGTATTAATTTGTTCGCATGCTTGACCAAAATTTGTTGCTTGGAAACCAATTGATGAATATGAACGTAATAAATTAAAATAATCAATTGATGATGATTTATTAAAATCATAACCACGAACAATTAAATGTGATGAAAGATCAATAGATGATGATGTAGGTTTAAGTGTTGCTTCAAGAGCAATAGTTGGTATATCATCTTTGGATGTTGCTGACATGATGAAATAATATAAAGTAATGTTTCGAAACCTTCAATTGCAACATCTTACAATCGAAAGTAAAATATTTGTATGAATCATGTATATCTCATTTTAATTGATCATGTATCTTTATAATGATACGATGATAATATGATTTCTTATTTATTCAAAGAAAAACATTTTTTAACTTTATACTTCGATAGATTGATAATATTTGATAGAAAATTTCTCCAGTGATATAGAGGGCGCTAGTATCCATCGAGAAAATAATTTATTTTTAAACCGACTGATTGATCAAACAATATATTCATATAATTAGTAGAAACAACAAGTTATCTATTTGCTGATCGCATTTTTCTAATGTATATGTAACAACATGTAGTTGAAAGATCCTCTTGAAATGATACCTATCGGCTGAGATCATATATTGTTGATATTTCAACAAAAGAACATCCATTTCGAATGCTCAACGAGTCATTCGATTTATCAATGGGCTAAATTTCATATGGAAATTCTTTCTTTCGATGTATGTTTAAAAGTAAATCGAAAATTGATTCAAACGATCTTAACTCGGCTTCATAGGTTCATGGGAACAAACAATTTTTAGACTTATCATAGCCTTATAAAGAATTCCTTGTAAGTTAAAACACTAGGTATTATTTCGAGTAGTTCTCTCATAAGTGAGTCTTACCGAATAATACAAAAAAAAAATGCTAATTCATTACTTCGATTTGAATGCTATGACAACTCGACAGCATTTTTTATTCTAGTAGCTATGATAAATTTTTTTTTGCAGTGATAAATATCTATAAGAGAAGTACATCTTCTAAGTTTGCTATTGTTCAAGACAAAGAAATAGAACAACAATCTTATTTCATTAGATAATTTGGCTTGATCTATTTTGTTATGTCAACATAACGACAAAGAAATTGTAGATATGCTTTTATAAAGTTTTCAGAAGACAAGATCTGAATAAGTCAATTCAATTTAAGTAAAAAAAAAAATTTGTAATTTTGTTGGTCCAGGGCTTTTATTTTGGGATAGCTAAATCACACTCGCATATATACATATATATTTCTCTTGCCCTCGCACCATCTTATATTTATTTTCTTTTCTTTTTTTGATAAAAGCATATAATATATATATATATATAAGCTCTTTTGATGTATCGATGTTTTTTCGTATTCTTTCAGGGTCATAGGTACAATATTCATATATCTTTTTCTATTAGGGCAATCCCATTCATTGCTTTTGTTTCGATTCACTGATACGATAAACTATAGTTAAACATATATACATCTTATAATGTAATCATATTTTGTTAAATGATATGTACTTCAGACATGACCTTTTCTTGTTATCTACTGTTGTTGTTGTATTTATACTCTAAATCATGTTTTAGTAAACAACCTTAGTTATATTATGATGTGAAATCAACGAATTTTTTTATGTAATGAACACCAATAGAACTCTTTCTAATTCGTTCAATGATTTTTGGGTCGGAATTCATGAACTTTCAACGAGAATTCGATGATTAGATCTAGAGTGGTTATATTGTTCTACTTTCGATTGAAACATGACATAAACGTGTAGAACTGGTCATTGGTTTCTCAATTTTCAAGTTTCTACAATGTTCTAGAATTTTTCGACCGAAAATAGTCCGTATTTCTTGGTCTAAAAAGAACAAAAAAAGGAATGCATATACATTATCGAAAAAGAATTCACAATCAAAAGCTTCGTGGAGTTCTTTTTTCTATTTCTCGCAGGATTTTATTAAAATGCTGACATCGTTTTTGACCGTTTAATAAAAAATATGAAGAGAAAAACTTAAATCACTAGAATCGAGACAGGTATCAAAAATCTTGGTCCGACACAGGTCAACTCCGGATACTAGAATAAAACTAATAAATTAAAAAAAAAAAAAGTATTCAGAAGTTCATTGTTTTCTTTTTAGCGTACATCAAATTGATATGTTCTTTGATTAAACTAGTTCACTGGCTTTGTTTTTGCAAGCTTGATGTAAAAAAATTAAAATAAAATTAGTAAATCAAGTAAACTCTGGCTTTCACACGTGTCGAGATATGGTATGATCTCAAATATGGCTGATTTTATTTATACATAAACAATATCTTACAATAATTTTACCCATCAGAGCTATTTCTAATTAGAATACTGCATTTTTCAGAATCGATTTTATCAATAATAGAAGGTAATGCCATACAAACCCCACGATAAGGATAAAAAAATATTAGCATGATGCAACTCTCAAGTTTTTGAATAGTTCTCTGAGCTGCCATGACCGGTTTCGTCCTGGCTAAGAGACTCATTCAGATGGCTTAATCTATTTTGAGTTTTTTGAACAAAAATCCAAAACAAGATGTATCTTCAGTGCTACTCCTAGAATAATACTAAGTCTAGTAGAAGAATTAAAAGCAAAGACGGGTGTGGGTGGGTGGTGCGTGTGGGTGTGGGGTGTGGGTGGGTAGTGCGTGTGGGTGTGGGTGGGGGTGGGGTCTGGCTGAGTGTGGGTATGGGTGTGGGTGGGGTGTGGGTGGGGTGTAGATGGGGTGCGGGGTCCGGGAAATGAGAATAAGAACACCCACACCCAAAAATTCAACGAAGGTGTTGAAACTGGAAGTGAGTAACATAACCACATTAGCTTATAGATGGATGATTTTTCTATAGTGAAATGGGACCCAGCACGAGTTCCTGAAGATATGGAAATGTTGACAAGTAATGGCAGTTCCGTATTCAACAACGATGAATGTTTAACACAAGCACAAATAAAAAGTTATTTTTCCCGTTTGGCCGTAAAACAATGAACAATGCAGCAAGTACTTGATCAACAAACAACATCAAACTCAATATCATCTTCATCAACATCTCTTAATATAATTAATACTAGTGATATCAAATCAACGGATACAATCAGTATAGATGAATTAAATGACAGCGAAGAAACAGATGATCGTGATTTGGAAGTATACTCATGGTGTCAAATGCTTGATGAAGCGCGAAATATTCTTGAAAATTCATCAATTTCTTCTGCTACATCAACTTCTTCGACAGTATCTGATTCTGCATCAAGTACACCATCGATAAAAGGAAATCAAAAACTGATACGTCACAAAGCAACAAATACAAAATCAAATAATATTTTACTAATAAACTATTTGTTTTCCACTTTCTTTTTTTTTGTTTTGCATCATTTATCATTCCAGTTCAGTTTTCATTTTACACTATTTTTCATTTCAGGGTAGTTATTGCTTATGTTTCAATCAAGTAAGTTTATTAAAACTGCGATATCGAATTATATACATGTCTTTAACTTCACTGGCAAGCTTCGTAGTCCACCGCTGATACTACATATCAAGTTTGTAACATCAAAAGGGTGTGGGTG